GAACCTAGTGGCAGGGCAGGAATAAAGACGCATACGTAGAGAATGAACTTGAGGACACAGGGTGGGAAGAGGAGGCTGGGACGAAGTGAGAGAGTGGCATGGACATATATACACTACCAAATGTAAAATAGCTAGCTAGTGGGAAGCAGCCGCATAGCACAGGGAGATCAGCTCTGGGCTTTGTGACCACCTAGAGGGGTGGGATAGGGAGGGTGGGAGGGAGTCTCAAGACGGAGGGGATATAGGGGTATATGTATACATATAGCTGATTCACTTTGTTGTACATCAGAAACTAACACAACATTGTAAAGCAATTATACTTCAAAAAAGATGTTTAAAAAAAAAAAGGGCCACAGTTTGATTAGGTGCCATTTGATGCCAGTTCCCCACCGGCCTCATTTTCCCTTTCATGTATTTCATGCTGAAACCTCTTCATTCATTCCTGGATTATGAATGAAAATACATCACTAAGTTGTTTAAGCTGAATTCCTGGCTTTTTGTGCTGTATATGCCATTTTGTTGCCAGATATTCTAGTGGCTTTCCTCCTGTTAGCAGAATTCATGGTAGAAAATTGGTAAATAATTCATTTTATTTTTGCCCCTGCTTTAAAAAAGAAAACCCAGTGGGACAGAGATATTCAAAGATTGTTTTATTTCTGAAATTTTTGCAGAAATAAGCAAGGTGATTAGTTTGAAATGTAATTCATAGTCAATGAGTTAAAAAGAAATACATCAGTTGCTGATTACAGCTAGCTCAACTAGCCCTCTCAAATGTAATTAGCTTTCGGGGTGATTCCAAGTGGCTTCTTTGTGCTTAAATTTGCAAAAATTTTCCAATGCTGTTTCAGTATTTCAAATAGTATTTAAGGAGTTTACTTGCAACATTTATCTGAGTTCATATGCACAAAAGGTAGATGTATATTTCTGAGCTAATGGAGATAATATATATATATTAAAAAGGGCAATTCCACTCCTGGGTATATATCACAAAAAAACCCAAAAAACACTACGTTGAGAAGATACATGCACCCCAGTGTTCATAGTAATAGTATTTACAATACAAGATATGGAAGCAACCTAAGTGTCCATCAACAGGTGAATGGATAAAGATTCTGTGGTATATACGTACAATGGAATATTACTCAGTCTCATAAAAAAGAACAAAATTTTGCCATTTGTGACAACTTAGATGGACCTGGAGGGTATTATACTTAGTGAAATAAGTCAGACAGAGAAAGACAAATACTGTATATCATCACTTATATGTGAAATCTAAAAAATAAAACAAACAAATGAGTATAACAAAACAGACTCACATACAGAACAAACTAATGGTTATGAAAAGGGAAGGGGGTGGGGCAATGTAGGGGTGAGGAATTAAGAGGTACAAACTACTATGTATAAATAAGCTACGAGGATACATTGTACAGCAGAGGGAATATAGCCAATATTTTATAATAACTTTAAATGGAGCATAATCTATAAAAATTTTAAATCACTATGTTGTACACCTGAAACTAATATAATATTATAAATCACCTATACCTCAACAAAAATAAAGGAGGGTTAGTTAAGTTAATAGTGTTGGGTTAAGTTAATAGTTTTGACCTTTCTAGTGTTATAGGAAGGTGAAGTTTTAGTTCTGTGCTTTACTTTTCTTTTTTGACCTATTTTGCTTATAATCTGTGTAAAAAGTCACAACTGAGCAATTTAAAAAAATATGTAAGTAACTACGTTGAGACTGTAACTTTTAAAAAATGTTATTCTTGATATTTGTTTTTTGTCAGTATGGTATTGCAAGTCTAGAAAATATAAGAGACTGAATGAAGACAACTTGCAGGGCAAGTTCAAAATGTGAACTGAACATTAAAAGTTTCTGCATGGTGTTTGCAGCTATTCCATGGTCAAGCTGCAGCCAGACTTAAGAAAGCATTCCTGTTGCAATTCTGTTGCCTTTATCACTACTTAAAAATTGTTTTATTATGAAAAATATTAAATATGTACAAGAGTGGAGAAAACGGCATAAAGAATCCCCACCTACCCTTTATCCAGTTTTCCCAGTCATAGTTCATGGCCAATCTTGTTTCATTCCTACTCCCACCCGGTTCTTCCGCGTCGCTTCAATCCATCATTTTGAAGCAAATCCCAGACATAATCTCATTTCAAATGGGTATATTTTCGTATGTATTTCTGAAATACAAGGACCCTTAAAGACTTAGAACCACAATACTGTTATCATGCTTTAGAAATTAACAGTGGTTCTCTATTATCATATATCCAATCAGCATTTCATTTTTTCTGTCTCATAAGCAGTTATTTTTAATAGCAGTTTGTTTAAATTAGCAGCTAAACAAAACCTGCACTTTGTTTGATATGTCTCTTAAGTCTCTTAATTTATAGGTGCCCTCTCCCCTTTTATACCCCTCCCATTGCAATGTATTTGTTGAAGAAACTGCTGTCATTTTTTCCATGGAATTCGTAACATTCTGGATTTAGCGTATTGCCTCCCTGTGGTATTATTTAACATGTTCTGGTGTTTTCTGTATTTGATGTAAACTGGTAATAAAGTGCTTGGTTAGAGTCAAGTTTAAATTTCTTTTTTATTTGACAAGACTGCTTCAAATAAAAAAGCAGCCCATCAGCTTTCTGTGTATCTCCATCAGGAATTAGTCTCCCTTTCTGTGATGTTAAAATTGATTAGTAAGTTCTAGGTACCTGATTTAGCCTGATCCATCCATTATAAAATACCCCATCAGCTTTTCACCTAACAATTTCAGCAGCCATTTATGGTCATTGCCTAGATCTATTATAGCAAGAAGGAGAGATACTATTTTTTAAAGTAATTCCTAAGAGTTGGGATGTAACCGAGTGACATAGCTGTGTGTGACTCTCCTGCTAAGTTGGGTGGTTGAACATTCTCCTTTAAAGCCAAGTCATGAAGAATCTTTACTGAGCTAAGAAGTATATAGCATGAGCTTAGAAGCTCTGTGAAAAGAAGAAGCCCTAAGTGACCCAGTCATCATTCTGTGGAGTTGGCATTCTCACGAGGCAGTTTCACAGGCCCAAACCTAAAAGGGATAAGATGACTTGTTTTTATCTTTGATAAATAACAAAGCTTGGACTTCATCAAACTTTCAGTATATACTGCACTATCTGTACATTCATATTTTATTTAAAATAACAACAGGGAGGGGAGTGTTGAGAAATACCATTGAAATATCTGACACATTTCTCTGTTGGGGTTTGAGAGCAAAGGCAGTGAAGAATCCCCGTCACTGAGCCTTTCCTGATCATTGCTAATGATTTTTCCATGGCCAACCTTGGAGGAAGAGGAGGAAAGGGAAGGAGATAAATTGGAAAGGGCTAGGAGGGGTGTTCTAAACCAGAGCTACTTACTGAGAGGAATTCAGGGTGAATTGACTCTTAACATTGGAAAGTAGCCTAGAAATTATCTGATCCAACTTCTTTGCGCATCCAAGGTTTCCTCCGAAAGGATCTGGCGATGAGGGAGCTCTTCTCTTCACATTCTGAACCCTCATGGCACTCATCTCCTTCTGCCTCTTTAATTCTGCGTATCTTATTTTCACTATTGGATTTTACATTCCTTGAGGGCAAGGGATTTATCTATTTCTCTGGTTTAGTCCCATGTAGAGTGTCAAAGATAAACACAGCTGGACATTAGTTAGAGCAATAAGAACACACTTTATTCAGTAACTACTGACAGTTCAGGGAAGAGCTGAGCTCCATTCTGATTTGCGCAGGGTTGACTGGGTATTTTAAAGAGAGAATGGGAGGGGCGGCAAAAGGGGCTCGGCAGAGTCAGAGAAGTAAGAAATTACAAAGGATTGATCGTCTAAGTGCATTTAGGCTGTGTCTGCTGGCTGGCAGTTATCAGAGTTAGGATTCTGTCCTCCCACAGTCTGAGAGACAGGCCCCTTCCTCTGATGATTACATTTTAAAGGAATGACTCTCAGGTCCTTGAGAAAGACAGTTCTGAGTTGTAAGAGGTACATATTCCCAACTGTAAGTCCTTTGTAGTAAGTGCTCTAAGAAAGGGAGGTCAGGGGCCTTTTTGTCAGGGATTAACTAGAAAAAGGTAAATTCTCCTGGCAATGATGATCTTTCTCAGGCAGGCATTTTAGTGGAGGGGCTGGGGTCATCCCAGGAACATGGCCTTATGCTGCTAAAAGCCGTACCAGAGTTTGGCCATCCCCTAGTGCAGAGGTTTGGATGGAGTTTGTTATATGCTGAAAGTTCTGCAGTTTTCAAGGGTCTAGAACACAAGTTAAAGAATTTGTGTTTACTGAACAAATTTAAGTAAATTTAGTTTCTTCTACACTGAAAGGAAGGGGGTCAGTTAGAATGCCTTAGTGCCTAGACACAGCCAGGAAACAGGAGTAACATCCCCATTCATAAATTTCCTTCCCTAGGTCCACCTGGCTATTCTTATTATCAAGGACAGCTGTTAACTTCCCTCCTCTTAAAGGCTAGCCTCTCAATTTGTAAGAGACTTTATCTCCTTACCACAGATATTTTTATTTTTTTGAAATAGTTCCAAATGGATCAATCTATTATAAAATGGTTAATATTTTCATATCTACTGTGGGATTTGGGGCACTATTAAAAAGGGACAGGTCAAATGTCTCTTACCCAGGGAATAGTACCCAATAGGGCAGCATTTCATGTCATATGCTTTCATCTATACCATTTATCTCAGTTGTTATGTATTTATTTATGATAATTTTTAAATATAGGTCATGGAAACTCTGTCTTATTCATCATTGAAAGGCCAGCACTTACCACAGTGACTAGCAGCTATTAAATATATTCCAAAATGATCAACTTAATGACTAAATGAATGAATGACTTTCCATCTTACCTTGTCTTTTCTATAACATTGATAGTATAGAAGTGCTATTTAATAGAAACATGGTGAATGAATGTTTGCAAAATGTCATGGATCTCGAGTTATGTTTCAGTGACTCTTCTTCTCTTTGTAGATTCCTTACCTATTCCTACCTCTTGGCCTTCAACGTGTGGCTTCTGCTTGCACCTGTTACCCTGTGCTATGACTGGCAGGTGGGCAGTATTCCTCTGGTAGAGACCATATGGGACACGCGGAACTTAGCCACCATCCTTCTGGCAGTTGTGATGGCCTTACTGAGCCTTCATTGTTTAGCAGCCGTCAAGGTAATTTTCTTAAGATTCAAATGAATTCTACATTTCAAGAGAGATACTCTATACTCAGTAACTTTTTTTTTTGCATGGGGGTGTGGGTCTAAATTGAATTTACTCATTCATCTAAAAAACTTTGTGTATTTAAAATTTTTCCAGAAAGGTAATATATATTTTAAAGATCTTATCGGGGTTAATAGACCAAGGTTACAATGTTTGCAAATGAGAAATTTTTTTCTTGCAGTGTTTGACTCATTTTTGACCTAATTCGTTTGATTTCATGTAATGATAAATGAGATAATGATAACATGTTCATAAGTGCTTAAATATGGTTAAGATTCTGCTTACACTAATAAATGCCTGCCTGAGTTGGCTGGGTGATTCTCACTTCAAAAAAAGAGATAATAGTACAAAACTTTATTAAAAGTTTTAATATTGGGAACTTGGAAAAATATTGGAACGTGGAAAAAATTATTAAATGTAACCATTTCAAAAATGATCAAAGACAGCAAAGAACTTGAAAATATTTACTTATTAAAAACTGCTACTGCCTTGTATAAGATGCTTCTTGCCTGAGAATATTCCCATCCCCCCAGATCTAGTGTTAAAAACTCACAGGTTGGGCTTCCCTGGTGGCGCAGTGGTTGAGAGTCCGCCTGCCGATGCAGTGGACATGGGTTCGTGCCCCGGTCCGGGAAGATCCCACATGCCGCGGAGCGGCTGGGCCCGTGAGCCATGGCCGTTGAGCCTGCCCGTCCGGCACCTGTGCTCCGCAACGGGAGAGGCCGCAACAGTGAGAGGCCCGCGTACCGCAAAAAAACAAAAACAAAAACAAACAAACAAAAAAACCTCACAGATTTACTGGCTGGAGGTGGCTGATTTGGTTTGGGAGAGTAGCAGAGCAGCTAGCAATTTAAGGGGTAGATTTTGGAAGCAAGAGAGCTGTAGAAGGGCTGAGATAATAACACTCTCCGTGCATTCACGGATGAATGAGAAAACAACATGTGCACGTGGGACATCCTAGAAAGCGCGAGCAAAACTGAAAGCCTGGGGAGACTTACTTATTTGCTGCAAATTTGAATGAATTCTTCAACACAAGTGCAGGTTGGGCGGCAGAGGGTGGAAGCTTCGCTGGCTTTAGTTGTCTGTATATAACCTCTGTTGAAATCATTGGCTGATCACAAAGCTATGCAAGAACAAGAGAGATTCCCCAGAGATCCAGGCAAAAGAAAGAAAGAAACAAATAAAATCCCACTGAGCAAAAATTTCAGCTCTCTACATAAAAAGAGATTTTTCAGTTTGAATCCAGGCAAGTTTATCATATATTAAAACAGGAAACCATCAAATTTCAGAAGAACAAAATAGAATAGAGAGGGCTTCCCTGGTGGCGCAGTGGTTGAGAGTCTGCCTGCTGATGCAGGGGATGCGGGTTCCTGCCCCGGTCCGGGAAGATCCCACATGCCACAGAGCGGCTGGGCCCGTGAGCCGTGGCCGCTGAGGCTGTGCGTCCAGAGTCTGTGCTCCGCAACAGGAGAGGCCACAGCATTGAGAGGCCCGCATACCGCAAAAGGAAAAAAAAAAAAACGTTAGAATAGAGAGTCACTATAGTGTACGACACACAATGCTGGGTTTTTAATTAGATTACTGGACATGTAAAGAAATAGGTGACCCAAAGTCAGGAAAAAATAATCAGTAGAAAATGGAATAGAATTCACATTCCAAAGATAAACTCACATTTACAAGCTTAACTGATTTTTAACAAAGTTACCAATGTAATTCAATGGGGAAATATAAGATACTGTAATGACGAATTATCTGTAAGGGAAAAATGAGAACATTAACCCTTAACTCATACTATACCCTTAGAAAGTATTTCTAAGTGGATCATAGTCCTAAACAAAAGAGTTAAATAACACCAAAAATTCTAAAAGGAAATAGAAAATCTTTGTGAACTTGTGTTAAGCAAAGATTTCTTAGGATACATAAAGTGCAAATTATGAAAGAAAATGTTGATAAACTGGACATCATCAGGATTAAAAACTCTGTTCCTCAAAAGATAACGTTAATTAAATCAAATGGCAAGCTACAAATTGGGAGAAAATATTTGCAAAACATATAGCTACAAAGGACTTGTATCTCGGATATTTAAAGAGCTCTTAAAATTCAGTAATTAGAAGGCAACTCATTAAAAATGGACAAAAGATTCAAATAGACACTTCACAAAAGAAGATATACAAAGGGTAATAAGTACATGAAAAGTTGCTCAGCATCATTAGTCATTAGGGAAACTCAAAACCACAAAAAAGAACCACTATACACTCTATAGAATGACTGTGATTAAAAAGGTTCACCATAGTAAGTGCTGGCTAAGAATGTGGAGCAACTGGAAGCCTCATACATGACTGATGAGAATGAAAAATGGGTCAGCCAATTTGGAACAATTCAGCCGTTTTGTAAGAAGTTAAACATAAAAATAAGCAATTCTGCTTCTCAGTATCTACTGAAGAGAGATGGAAACTTATGTCCATACAAGAGTCTTACAAGTAAATATTCATAGCAGCTTTATTTATACTAGTTGAAAAATAAAGATCGTCTAGTGACCTCACCTTGGGAATGGATACACTTAATGTGGTAAATTATTGAAAAATGTAAAGGAACAAATAATTTACTGACACATAAAACAACAAAAATGAACCTCAAATACTTACCAAGTGAAAGAAACCAGGCATTTAAGATCAAATACTGCATAATTCCATTCATATGAAATGTCTGTCATTATAATTCTGCCTTTTCTAGAATTTTATATGGCTAGAAAAGGCAGAATTTTAATGACAAGAAAACCTGGGGTTGGGAATTGACTGTAAAAAAGACTTGAAGGAACTTTTGGGGGTGTGAAATGTTGTCTAAAATTTGATTGTGGTTTTAGTTGCTGGATTATATGTACATTTACCAAAACTCATCAGAATATACACATAAAGTGGGTGAATTCTATTGTATGTGAATGGTATCTCAACAAAGGTGTGTTTTAAAAAAAGATTAAAATGTTACAAATAGATTAAAGGCTAGAATGAATACAGAACTTAAAGTAGAATATAAAACACAATATGTGATCCTGAAAATCTGATGAAAAATATTTTTGTTTTTTTATTTGAGGTGAAATTTGCATAACATACAATTAACCATTCCAAAGTGTACAAGTTAGTGGCACTTGTGTGTTCACAATGTTGTTTACTTACCTGTTCTATTTCAGCGCTCTTTCATAATTTCGTTAAAAACACCCGATACCCATTAAGTAATGACTCCCAACTCTCCCTACCCCATCCCCTGGTAACCTCTGATCTGCTTTCTGTCTCTATGGAGTTGCCTATTCTGGATATAAAATAAATTATACAATAATTACAGTAATACAATATGTGACCTTTTGTGTCTGACTTCTTTTACTTTGCATAGTATTTTTGAAGTTCATCCAAAGTTGTACTGTATATCAATACTCTGTTCCTTTTTTGACTGAATAATATTTCATTGGATATATACCACAGTTGGTTTATGCATTCATCTGTTGATAGACATTACGGCTGTTTCCACCTTTTGGCTAGTACGAATAATGCTACTATACACATTGGTGTACAAGTTTCTGTGTTGGACATACTTTTTCATTTCTCTTAGGTATATACCAAGGAGTGAAATTGCTGGGTCATATGGTAATTCTGTTTAACTTTTTGAGGAACTGTTTTTCACAGTGGATGTACCCTTTTATTTTTCTACCAGGAAAGTACAGGGGTTCCTATTTCTCTACATCTTTGCCAATGTTTGTTATTTTGTATTATTTTATTTAAAGCTGTTCTGGTGGGCATGAAGAGGTATCTCACTGTGGTTTTGATGTGCATTTCCTTAATGATCAGTGATGAACATCTTTTCATGTGCCTTTTGGCCATCTGTGTATTTTCTTTGGAGAAATGTCTATTCGGGTCATTTTAACAAGGTGTTTTTTTATTTGTTTGTTTTTATAAATTTATTTATTTTTGGCTGCATTGGGTCTTTGTTGCTGCACGTGGGCTTCCTCTAGCTGTGGCAAGTGGGGGCTACTCTTCGTTGCGGTACGCAGGCTTCTCACTGCGGGGGCTTCTCTTGTTGCGGAGCACAGTCTCTAGGCGCACGGGCTTCAGTAGTTGTGGCACATTGGCTCAGTAGTGTGGTTCGTGGGCTTAGATGCTCCATGGCATGTGGGATCTTCCCGGATCAGGGCTCGAACCCGTGTCCCCTGCATTGGCAGGTGGATTCTTAACCACTGCGCCACGAGGGAAGCCCCTCTGGTCATTTTTTTTAATTGGGTTGTCTTTTTGTTGTTGAATTGTAAGAGTTCAGGATATTAAATTTCCAACAGATAGATGATTTGGAAATATTTTCTCCCATTCTTTAAATTGTAATTTCACATTCTTGATAATGTCCTTTAATGCAAAAAAGTTTTTAATGAAGTCTAATTTATTGTTTTCTTTTGTTATTCATTGCTTTTGGTGTCAATCTAAGACTCCATCGTCACATTCGAGGTCATAAAGATTTCCCACTCAGTTTTCTTCTAAAAGTTTTACAGTTTTAGCTCTGATGTTTAGGTTATTGATCCATTTGGACTTAATTTTTATATGAGCACAGATTTCATCTTCTCGGTAAGGGCTACCATAACTACCCTATTTAAAATACAATCACATACCCTCTGCTCCACATCTTACCTCCCTTTCACTTAACTTTTTCTTCACTATACTTCCAGTTTCTAAGATGCTATATAATTTTGTTACTTTATGTAATGTCTATTTCCTCCAACTAGAGCATAAACCCCACGAGGACAGAGATTATTTTCTGTTTTGTTCAATGCCATATTTCTAACACCAAGAGTTTGTCACATCCAATATTTATTAGCTAAATTTTATTGTTTGCCACTCAATATACATTATCTAAATGAATAAGATCATAAAAAGTTAGAAACTCTTTTTCAGTTTTGGTATGCAGAACCTTTTGCT